TGGAGGGTAGTGTGTGGCGCTGATTGAGGGTAGTGTATGGCTCTGAAGAAGGGTAGTGTATGGCGCTGAGGGAGTGTAGTGTATGGCGCTGAGGAAGGGTAGTGTATGGCGCTGAAGGAGGGTAGTGTTTGGCGCTGAGGGAGGGTAGTGTATGGCGCTGAAGGAGGGTAGTGTTTGGCGCTGAGGGAGGGTTCGAGGGTGTGGTTTCTGAAATAAGGGCGTGGTCATTTTTGTAACTCAATGTTTCTGTTACTCGATGTTCGTAGCTCGATGTCCGTAACTCGAACACTTCAGCATCTCTGGGATAAGTCGTGTTCATGTCAACTGCGATTAAAGCCATGCCAGTGCCAAAGTACTTTCCATGGCTGTCACAGTGAATAACGAAACGTGGAGATACTAAATATTTTTTTTTTTATCTTATGTGATATATGCACTATGGCGTACAAGCAATTGACATACTATTGCGTCCTCCGTATTGTAACATATACGAATGTGCCATATCGTGCCGTGTGGTTTTGAAGTCGACAATAGAGGATTCGCTGTATAGCACACGCCGTCACCATTGTGATCCTTAAAGGAGACACATAACTGGTAAAGTCCAAATGTTTTGTGATACTTAATGGAAAGATAGTGTGTCATATTTAGTACAGTGCCTGATCTAGAACCAAACGCGGTCGCCACATTAGTCATTCAACATCACAGAGATTCGTCTTCCGGTTTTGCATTTTGGTTGATCTCGATCGTCAGCAAAAAAACACACAGCGTGATTGATATTATGTGATGTGAGACGTCTCTTTCGCTTCAGAACACTTTCAATAAAACTGAATGTCAATTAAATTTAATTTCTAAGCAATATGTGCCCATCAAATGTACAGCGTAAATATGATATATTTGGTTTCCATGGCAATCAGTTTTGAAATACCCGAATTTTTTTTCGGAATAATTTTCTTAAAGGCCTATTATACTCGTAAACACATTTATAGTAACGCGGAGGATACCACTATAAGGATATCAACGATTTTTAATACCGAACAGATTTTTTGAAGAGGTGGGATATTTAACCACTGGTAATTAACTCTAATGACACATAATAATAGCCTCTAATAGAATCATGACGAATTGAAGAGGATGTAGTTAAAAGGGTCAATTAATAAGAAATTGCCGACACATTTCTCGTAATTAGTGCAACAACGCACACGGAATAACAAAACGTTTATTCTGGAAGCCAGCTTGAAATACACATCGAAACTGAAAATCCAATCAACTTTGCTTCTCCTTATTTGAAAACTGGTGCGTGTGAGCAAATTTGTGACGTCTCCGGATTAAGGCGAATAAGCAGAAGATAAGCCGCCATACCGGAGACAAGTAATGATAGTAATCTCGTGGAAATAACTTCTCGTAACACACACTTTTTAGATCACTTTTAAGAAACTTTCGTTCTGAGATGTAACCCGTTTAGATAAAAAATTCCCATTTGGTTGAATCTCTGACGTTAGTTTCAAACATGATAACTTAATACTTCGTATAGATATCAGACACCACCATTAAAGCAATATCGACGACAATTACACCATTATCAATATCGATTACAGAACATTTCGTACCTATCAGTTACGGCTACAAGCGGTATCTAAGATGGATCAGCAGAAACGACTCTTACTATAAAGATTACAGGTTACTCATAATAGTTTTTTTTACGAGACTGAAAACATTTGTAGGTTCTAAACTTTGATGATGGCAAATGTAAAGAGGATGCGGGTGATAAGAGTGACTTTCTACACAAAATGCGAAGTTTTCTTCGAAGAACGCGATACGCATTTACATATTCAATACGCATAGTGGCTGCAGTGACTCTAAAATGCAGATGAAGCTTAACTAAAACGGCGGTGGTCGTCACGCAGTGCGTGTTCGAATTTCATGTAAATAAACAATGTATTTTACACGCGTTGTACACAACGTCGCTATGAGTCCCATATCGAACAGGGCGCGGTGCGACGGCCACCGCCATTTAAACTGCCACTGCTTTCTTATTTTGGGAAAACTGAAATCAATAATTGTACTATACACATATTCAAAATAATGCATGCTACTACTAGAAACAATGGTGCTAAGCAATTTGGTACTAAAAAACATTGTAAAATAAATTCGCCAATTGTTAATCCACAAATACAAGTTTGTAAACTTACATCGAAACCCGGGCGTAAAGAGTAAATGATTTTCTGCATAAGCGTTTAGAAGCGCGAATCCCGCATGTGTCTGGTCTGGCGTTGGGATTGCTGTGAAGAAAATAGTGTCGGGTTACGAAGCTCACTCCCCCCTTCTGATGGCTGTACCTACCTTTTCTGTCTTTGATATCCGTTCGCATTATCTTGACAAATTCCCGGTAGTTCACCCTTCCGTCGCCATCGATGTCAGCCTGTGTGATCATCTCTTCCATTCGCCTGGCTGAGATGTTCTTGCCCATATCGTTAACCACTTTCCGGAGCTCGTCTTGACAAATGTAACCGTCGCCGTTGGAGTCGAACTGCATGAAGGCATCGTAGATCTCGTCGTCCGTAGCAACATTGGAATCTGGAAAAAAATAAATGAATCAATCAATCAATTTATCAACCGATCAATGACAGGCATACTGATTGATTAGCGATGTCTACTAATAAATGGATGAAATCCAGTATTTATCAAAATCTCTACCCATATATTATTTTACTTTTCAATATTAGAATATAGATATGGCAGGGGTAATTTATGCGCATACTGATTACATAGCGATGTCTACTCATAAATGGATGAAATCCAGTATTTATCAAAATCTCTACCCGTATATTATTTTACTTTTCAATATTAGAATATACACATGGCAGGGGAAATTTATGCGCATACTGATTGAATAGAGATGTCTACTCATAAATGGATGAAATCCAGTATTTATCAAAATCTCTACCCGTATATTATTTTATTTTAAATATTAGAATATACATATGGCAGGGGTAATTTATGCGCTTCGTCTTAAAAAATGCTGGTTGCATCAACTCATCAAAATCAGCCTAATTGTGAACTATACAACGTTTGTGTCTATGGTTTCCATGGTAATAACACGTCATTGTATTATTATTTGTTGCGTGGAGATATATGCCATTTTTTCTCTACGTCTGGGTTACTAATCATCTACCGTTGTCACCCATGGAAACAACCAAACGATATTTCACCGATTTTACCAAAAATATATTTAAGATTAAAAATTACCAGTTACTTGTACTATAAATAAATCTGGAATGTAAAACGTAAACAAATATTCCTACCTAACACTACGCACACTTTTTTTCGTAGGCTACGTAAGGCATGTACGTCGTAAATTATTTCTAAACCTAAATATTTATAAATTCAGACGACAGTTTATGGGATCCTGCAGTGAGGCAGGCTGTCCTAATTTCTGTATCAATGGTGTTCATTTGTATCGAGGATATATAGCTGCTTAACCCAGTACTCCAGTCGTTTTATTTGCATTTTAATGAGACATACTTCAAATGAAAACCGTTGAGGAAGACATTGTTTTTAAGTATTTTTATAAGAAAAAAAATACATTTGCTGATTTCAATGCGAGGGAAATCTGAAGATCCTATGGAAAATATTATGTTTCTTTGCTTTGACACATTGCCTCGAGTTTACTGTGATGTATCGTCTTTCTATTGCCCGTGCGCGGCGGTATATTATTTAGATGGTGATCGCCCGCGATACATATCAACACTAGAAACCGAAATACGACTATCATATATTTATAGAAAAATACCAATTTCAGACGACCCAGACGTAATGCCCTCTTGTATCATATTACCATAGTGTAGAAATGCTTTAATTGTAATATTTCAGACTAAATGTGCAACGTGTATGCTAAACTTCGTGAATCTATGCAGTTTTTTTATCGCTGCGATGTGAGATTTTTCAATGTTTTATGAGCTGCGTTTGGGCATTTGTAACTCTTATAAGACATAAAACAACGCACGGAGCAACGAACGAGACAACGCCAGTTTCTTCTTCCAAGAATTGTTTCGTTTGTATTATGTAATCGCGTAGCCATGATGGACCATGATGTCCAGTTTCCAGGTAGCTAAATCGTTCATCGCCACAGTTATAGTTGCCTCTGTAACGGTTAGGGTTCAGGAGTAGTCTTGCGGAGTCATATATACTCTGACAACATAAATAGTGACGTGATGATCTAAAAATAAAGGCACAGTTCGTGTTTATGCGCATTTATTCTGAGAAATTGTTGAAAGTGTTCTCATGTGGAGTAAAATTATCATAACCAGTATGCAACGATCAATTAAAGCAATTTTTGTGTGTAAAAGGGACAAATATATTAGTTTACTTTTCGGCAATTTTAGTTGAACTTGAGCGGGAGTCGTTAGATATCCCTTCATTTTTGGTTTAAAATAAAAAAAGTAGTAGTAGTAGTAGTTTATTCAGATGTCAGGGCCTCCGCCCATTACATCAATCATTATAATACAAAATTATGCGAATACATCACTGTAATTTTAAAATTGAGAGAAAGTTGTAACGGATTTTGAAAGAATTGTTTACATACACTCAAAGTTTATATTGTGTTTCTGCATTTAGTGATTTTAAAGAGCAACACATTTTTCGTTGGATGGATAGACTCTGAAACGGCGACTAAGTTGCATATACATCGGACAAAATAGAATAAAATGGAATTCATCCTAACTACTGATCTTTATATACTTTGCTAATAAAGACAAATTCTCAACGGAAATGCAGTTATTGGATAAATATGCCGTCCTATCTCCGCTGCCAATTTATGACTTGAACACCGAAGCCTTGCCAAAGCAAATTTAAACTTCAAGGTCATAATACATGTTAAATATAATTCTGGCTCTAACAAAGATTTAAAATTAATATAACAACGAAATCGACTCGACTTACTCCAAGAATCAGCGATGCCGACCATTCTCGACGATAACAATTGCATAATCTCAAGTTCGCGTAATAAAGCTAAAAAAAACTTTGCTGTCACCCACTTGTTGTTATATTCATGCACAATTCAAAAAAACATGGGGATACAATAACTCTTTGTTGCCCACGTAGCCCTCCCTGTCATTAACCATTTTATAACAGGCCCTAGGATACCGGTGCATATCCATTTTTATCAGTTTTAACCAACATGAAATGCAACGTTTCATGTAAGTACAGAAATCTTCCACATTCGCACTTCAGTATTTACACTAGAGTTAAGCCCTTATAAAAATCTACAAACAACTAAATTACACACTCTCGGCATTTATGAAGAAAGTACTCATAACCCCATATATCGACCCCATAAAAAAAATTATATCACACACAAGCAAAAATATACTATAGTATGCGCAGCGGTGTACATTCAGTTTGTTGCGAAATGTTGTAAAAGATGTAATTGTAATATCTAATTGATATTTGGCCTGATTTTCCGAAGCCCAGGCGAATCATGTTCTAAGCATAACTAAAAACCGTGATACCGACTGAAATTAAAGCTAGGACAATAGGGACAATACATTGAAATTAATTAAAAGCATCAATACGTAGCATTCCGTGATGTTTCCCTATTTTCGTAGTAGTTTAATTATGAGTAAGACTATACCCTCGTATAACGATCACATTTAAAGAAAACGATCGAAATCCATTAAAAACATTATTTAAAGGCACTTTTCCTTAATACAATACAAACTGCACGGAAATCCATATCTTCCCATACATATATGGTTCGACTAAATGGTATTAAAATACAGATTAGCATAATCGAAAAAGAGAAGAAAAAAAAAACGTTTGATTTATTATTATGGGTAATATTTGAAAGAATGGTTAAGGTTGAATACGATTTATCATCCTTCGAATCGTTGCTAATCAAATTTTATCGGGCTTATTATCCGGAACAAAAAACATAACAATGAATCGTCATAGCAACCAAACGTAGCTGAAAAAAGAAGAATCGTTTAGACACAGTTGTCACGGACACTTTCACTTGTCATTTCGGGTGCAACGTTATTGCACGCGCAGTTTGCCACGGCATCCATTTTCTTTCTTCAATTATTGTTCATATTTAAATGAAATCATAATAACCTACTGCTCTTTTAGTGAATTAACAATAACAGTATAATTGCAACCGGCAGCCATATCAATATATCCTCTCAATTTGATTGTAAATTTGAGCGTTTTTGTACAGCGATAATTACGCTGAATACACTTGTCAGAAATATACACTCTGCTCATATAAAGACGCGTAATAGGCTTACTCCTGACGGAAGAAAGCGACATTACAATCAGTGATATTGACATGGCTAATTTACCAGTTGCGATGCATTGCACAAGTCAACGCCGACCTCGTTCACGGCTTTTTTTTTCTTTTGAACAAGATGATGGATTGAGTGCGAAAGATATTTAAATCCAGCTTCCGATGGCCCTTGGCAATCACAGTGCACCATATTGTAGACTCATCCCTCTATCGCACCTTTTTTGTATGAGATGGAGCTGATTCGATTGGTGAATCACGCATATTTTGTCGCAAAACAGATGCGATTCTCGCGAAAGAGTGACGTAAAACGTGGAAGGTAAATTTACACAAGTTTACGCGCGAAATAAAACAGACGACAGAAAGGGAATGTAAATATGTTATGTGTACACGACGTGTTAAGAGTTCAACGACCACGAAATATGTTGAATGCGTATTGTTGACTCCGGTGTTATTAATAGGAGAGCATATTCTTCCGCGAAATATCAGTCAACAGTTTGGATCGCTGTTTCCTTCCCCCGAAATTGATTCGCTCTGTGAGCGTGGTACATCGTAGTATAGCCCATGCGCAGGATCCGAACATACTAGTACACATCTGACCTCGTCGGCAAGCTCGCATTTCAACTAACCCGTGAAAATATGCCATGCAGAGCAAGCATTCCATCGTGCCACTCGAAATAAACAATGGTCGAAGAAGAAGCGAACGACGATCAGTGCACACGTTCTCCGGCCGACGGACCCCCTTCCAGGCTACATGCATTGCTCTGGTTTGCAAGCCTGTGGCTGTAGGTGACGCTCGCAATGCGCATATCATATCATACCTTGTATCGAAGAACTTTTCCCAGCTGCGCATCCCATTCTGAGACTGTCTTGCCGGCATATGGTTCCTTGTCCGTCGCTGTTACATGATCGAATCAGGTCAAGAAAGGACTGTTTCGTCTGTTCGTTAACGCACGGTCACCGTCTGTACGATACTCTCGACGCTCGGGTTCGACAACGTGCACTGACTGACTTTGATGGATGAAATCAATCGTTCGGCGACACTTTCCTTTCATTTGTCGGATATGATCGGAGCCAGTCGTGCCCAAACATATGTTTGGAAAATTTGCATTGACGTCACGTTGTTATGATTGTGGTCGTAACATAAAACTCCAACGCCTTAACTTGCCAGAGGCTGTAGTCATGGCGACTCATCAGGAATGAAACATCATCCGGCGACGGATGGGCAGCGTGATGGCGCACATCGGCGCTAGGCGTATAAGCAGTGGGGTTTGAATATATTTTTTCTATTCCCCTGACCATCGTTGCTGTGATGTTCCGCCGCTTTCAGTTCACTGTCGAATTACTCATTTGCGCAATGAACGCGAAAAAAGGGGGGGGGTCTTCACTGGCAAGCGGTATGTCGTCTATGTTTTCAGAACCCCTACCTTATACACTCTTTCACAATTCTTTTTAGCAAATGTTGACCGAGTTACAGTCTGTATTTGGTTAAGCGTCAAGCTCATTTTTTTTATTAATTCGGGCCTGTTCGGGCCCATAAATAGTGATTTGGTATGCTTGAAGAGCATCGATGTTTTTCATGGATTATTTTATGTTGTGGTTTTTGAATGTGACAAAGGTAGACCCGTTTATAATCCTGATACCGTAGTTCAAAAAGAAGGCCGCATTTGATGTCGCGGCACACTCCTTACAACAACGGAAAGCCCCACCTGCTCAATCGCAAAAGTGGCAAATAAATAACAGTTGTTCGGAACATTAATTACTATATAACACCTGCTCAATCGCCGGAAAAGTTTAATGGATGTTTCGTACTTTCAAATTTGTCGTACTTCCTATATGTTTAATGTTTGCGCCTTCTACGGCACATATTTGCATAAAATTGGTATTGCTTATTTTACAGAGACTTATTATCCCCGGCACTTAACCAATGAGGGATACTATACCAGTGTCCGTCCACCGATATATCCGCGAGGAATCATATCTAGAGCAGTATTGCAAAGAGAGAGATTAACACAGCACAAGGTTGAATACAAGTGCTCTTAGTCACAACTAAAGAAGCCAAAAAGTACGCTATGAACACATGTAAACTTTTAATAACCCCTTCTCACCTGGACGCAAACTGCTTGAACCAATCGCGATAAAGATGGCGGGGCTCCAAACTAATTAAACATGAAAACGACAACCCAAGTTCCTTGCATACTGAAGATATCATCAGTTCCTGTATACAAATATTAGTTTCAAACAAGAAGTTGAAAATATTAGTTTTGACCTTTGACCATGAATATATATATATATATATAAATACTGATAAAAAAAGGCAACAGAATGCTGCATATGTCATCGTTTCTCGGATTGCCAAAATGCCGATCTCGTGACCGGAACGGGAAAGGGGTCGACATGCATTGGATAGACTTCCGGTCATCGGGACTATAAGAAGGTTTAGACAAAGATAGGTAAATACTACTTCGTACAATATTATGATGCAATTAACGTACTTGTCATTCATAAACAAATCATAATTAATATAATTTGTGGTATATTGGTATTCATACGTAAATTGTACGATGTCTTCTGTACGAGGGGCCAA